CAACCTTTGGAATAAGAATTCATCATGACCCTACAGAACCTGGTGCCATTCATAGGTTACCTGTGACCCCTCAGTCAACACTCTGAGCTTTTGTAAAATATAACTTCCTAATCCAGTTTGTTAGATATTAGTGGTCCGCAGAAGGCTTAAAGGACCATTAAACTTTCCTGAGACACATTAAAGGCTCTGCAATCATAATCAATAACGTTTAATGACTTGGGGAATGGTGATATAATGATTTACGCTGCTGTGGTTGATTATAGACACATTACAATTGTAATATAAAAGTGCTGAAAGATATTGATTGATATTGTGAGTGATTAAAATGCAAAACTAAGGACTGCAGATATTTAATATGTCAAGTATAAACGAAACGACTGTGTGTTTTAGAACATCATGTACAATGAAGCGCTGAAAAGTGTTTCTTTTAACTTGTTATTATTTCATTTTTTCCAGTATTTTTTCATCTATCTGCTTCTTGCTAGCTGATTAACACATAATTTTTGGACACTGAATGTTGTACTCTCAGTACTGTGTGTTGTGTGTTTTCTTTGGTCATTTAAAAAAATAACCATCATTCTCTCCCTGTCTCACAGATATGGAGGAGAGGACGGGTGCAGCATCATGGGCGAGTGGAAGTCGTTCTTCCAAGGTAACAAATTACAATAACCGCTAATAATGATTACTAAAGCTGATGTGTTTGCCTTCATTCATAACATTCATCATTTCATGACTAATGCACTGTACGTGTCTTGAAACAACCTGTTGGCAGGGACCTTTTCACTTTTTTTGTCCCCTTAGAATTGTTCCTGTTTTTCAAACAGACATTTTTAATGGCCATCAAAACCTTGAAGTGCTGGAACTCTCAGCCACTTGTACAGTAGTGTCTTGGATCTTAAGCACCAAACAACAACAGTGTTTGAACTGTTGATCACATATGTGCCTTTCATTTTCAAATTAAGGTATTTGACTGTTTAAACGAGCCAAAAAGGTACATTCTAGTTCCAAAGTGATAATTGTATATTAGCAACGACACACTAAAAAGGCTCTGGGTTCAAACTTCCTGGCGCCATTTTTCTTCTTAAGCCTAAAGAGTTACAGCATCTTATGAGAGTCCTCCAGGTCCTGTAAGCTGTGAATTGTAGCTTTGGTGGATCAGACTTGATAGTGCACATAGAATAGAATAGAATAGAATTCAACTTTATTGTCATTGCACATGCACAGGTACAGGGCAACGAAATGCAGTTTGCATCCATCCAGAAGTGCTTAGTGATATAGATATATTACAATATATATTAGCAATAATATAGATATGTGAGTATATTACAGAAATGGGTCTATTATGGTATCCCTCAGCACCCAGGCCCTGGTTCATTGTGTGCCCCTCTTTGAACCACAGTTCATCACAGCTGATGGCAGCAGTCGTCCGGCCTCGACAATCTAACCCCTGTCACTTACTTTGCACCTGCCCCTCTCTTTCACATTCAACACACTGGCTACACAAACAAATGCTCACTTAGTAATACAGTGGTCCCTCGCTATAACACGGTTCACCTTTCTCGGCCTCGCTGTTTCACAGATTTTTCTTTGTGCAATTTTGCATGCTTCGATTGCTAACACTGTGACACTGAAGTGCTGTACTGTATGTTTGTAAATTTTCTCCCCAACGAACACAACCATCGACAAAACGTTTTGCACGGTAAAAGGCAACAGCAGGTGCCTTTGGTTTCATTCTATAATACTGGACTTATTTTTCTTAGGTTTGAACTGTGAGAGTGTTTAAGCAAGAGAGAAAAGTGTTAAAATGTTCATGCCTGTCTGAGAAAAGTGTATAAAGTGTGTTATGAGGGGTTTTACAGCCTTAAAACATCTATAATGATTGTAAAGTTGGCTACTTCACCGAATTCACCTGTTGCGGGTTATTTTTAGAACGTAACTCCCACGATAAACGAGGGACTATTGTATATCCCAGTCTTCGACATGATTCTTCTATGTTTTTATAAGCTTTCGATTAAAACTGAGAGTATATTGTAGTAAGGCAAGCAGGCAATGTGTACTAAAGAGGATCGGAGATATCCATCTGAGGCCTAAGTCATTGTTAGTGACCACATCCATAATCCTAAACGCAACACCATACAATCAGAATAAGTATTTTTTTTCCCTAAACGTGGCAATCGGGGAATGAAGAAAATACAAAAATTCTAACTTGCACACATCAAAAACTATTTTCTTATTTTTTTAACTTTTTACTTTTAAGGTTGGGTTCATCATCACTGATGACTTTGACCTCAGAGATGAACTAAACTGTTGTACAATAGCAGCAGGGCATAGAAACAGTACCAAGCTGTGAATATTACATTCATTACATTACATTCACATTTAATAATTGTTTATCAAAGATTTTATGATAACCGTTTGTCCTGTGTCACCATCTGAAGAAATCCAGTATTTTTTCTTTTAACTCTTTCCACCATTTTACCAGCTACTTATTTTATCTGCCAAGAAGTAAATATACTGAATATCAATATACAGATAGGTACAGAAGAGGCTGAAGCTTTTTATGAAGTTCCATCAAGAGCATCTCAGCAGCAGATTCAGCCTGTAATTGTCTTCAGCCTGTCTTCACTACTACCAGTTTGCACAAATTTCTACTTCCTGTGTTTAGATTTGGCAGGAGACCTGTGTTACACGTCTTTAGCTTTGCTTCCTGTCATTGCTGTTGTGTTTTTCGTCAAGTATTCAACATTTATGGAAACGGAGCATGTCATGTTCCTGCTAAGAGTGCTAATTTCTACGCTTGCTGTGGTCAAACTTAGACAGATAACCTGCCTACAAGCAGCTCCATCACACGTTGTTAAACTTACAGCTTCACATTTAGTTTTCATACATATTTCCAAACATTTTGAACTATACATTGCTGTATACACCATGTACACTGTAAAATGTAAAAGAGTCAGTCATCCAGTGTTGTCTCTACAACTTCAAGGACTACTATTTCTACTTGTAATGCTACAGATGATGCTGTTTGCATTGCTAACTAGATGTCCTGTCTCCCTCCTCAGAGTTATGCCGATGGGTCTCAGTACATGACGTCACATGACAGCCTTTCACCTCCGTACACCAACTCCAGGGTAACAGGTATGGTGCAAGCTAAATGTGTGTGCATGGGTACATGCATTTGTTTTTATTCATTTATTTTTGCAATTCATTTTTTTCTAGCCATCAGCTTTAGATTCACAGCTTTGTCGGGTCCTGACTGTGTGCGCGTGTGCCTGCGGAGAATTAGTGAAACACTAGCGTACACTGGAGGAGACAGGTCATCTGGCATGCAATTTCTCTCTCTCTTTCCTCTCTTGGCCCGCTGTGTGGAAAAACGCCAGGCAGTGTGTGCTCATTTACCCATGATGCTCTCTGCCTCTGGCTCTCTTCGATGTGGCGCCAGTTGTGAGCAAATGGCCACTGACACAGATAATCTGCCTCTCTCCCTCTCTCTCTCTTCCTCTCACACAGTCACACAGGCATATAATCACTGAAACACACACGTGCAGATGTACTTACACACACACATGCACACACACACTAAACAGAGCTTAATTACCTTTGACTGGATGCATCAAAAATGGAAGATGTTAGCTCTCAGCTATCTGACTCTACCTGCCTTTTTCTGCCACTCTGTCTCTTGTGCTTCTTCTCATTAGTTTTGAGTGAGCTCACACTTGTGATGCACTGAATCTTAAACCCTCCACTCGAAGTGACAGAGTTAAAAAAAAGAAGAAGTGCTGTTTGTGCATTTTTCTCCTATATTTCTTTGGCTACACATAAAAGATGGGCATAGCTACCATGATGTCTCAAATTGGTTTGTGCATTTTGGAGCTGTGACAATATTTAGACAAGAAGGGTGAGATTAGCTTAGGTAGATCAGTAAGCTTGATTAGCAGGGTACATAGAAATCAAATACTAGAATTTCACTTATCAAAACAAGTACACTCACCTCTGGTCTCTTACTGCAGTTAACCAATAACAAACCAAATATTTGTCAGACAATTACACTAAAATGCTGCACAACAAAAACTCTGACCACATTTCTTAAGAAGGAGGTAAATTGGCTGCTGACACTAAAACTTATTTGGAGCAAGCTTCTAATCTGTAAGGTGGAACAGTGGTGTAGTGGTTACCACAACTGACTTGATACTTGGTTTTGGTTGTTTTTCTTTTTTTTAAAATAAGTGCCACATGAAGTGGGTGGGATTGCTCTTGCAACGCCACCTGAGAGTCCAATGACATAATTTATATGCACCTCGATTTTTAAAAAAGCCAGGTCTGATTCTTGTGGAAGAGTTGCTCATATGACTCATCAAATGATGTCACTCCCTAGCTCAGTTGGAAATCTGGCTGACTAGGTCCTAAACAAGTACCGGGTACCAGGTACTGCCACTTAATGGAAGTCCCTTAAACCTGAGAGGAGTTGAGTCAAAATGAGTCAAGTAGGTACTAGTAGAAAAGTGACTTAAGTATTCGTCCTGCGATAAACTGGCAACCTGTCTAGGGTGTACCCTGCCACTTGCCAAGTGATGGGTGGCATAAGCTCCAGGCCCCACGGTGACCCTGAACTGGATAATTGGAAGAAAATGGATAGATGGTCATTTATTTATACTGTAAAGTTGAGCATTTTAAAATGGGAATTTATGGGACTGACCATACCTGTTTTCACATTTTATGAGCAAAGGTATAAGGACACTTAACCAACAAAAGTGTGTTGATTACTTTAATGGCCATATGTGCCCAAAACAGGTGGCAGTAATGTGGTGCTCTAGCAGCCTCCACACGTTGAATTTCATGGTTTCTGCATCATGTCAGAATTTGCTCCTGTTTACCCACAAAAGCATTAGTGAGGTCCAGCTTGATGTTCTGCAGTAAGGCTTGGCTTGTACTCAACGGTGACTAGTGTTGAGCCTAGAGCTTTGTTAGCTCAGTTAAGTTCTTTCACACTAAACTGGGACATCTATATTTTCATGAGTCTGACATTGTGCACAAGGGTACAATCATATAAAAAACAGGAAAAGATCTTCCCTGAACCTATTGTTTAAACATCGCAGTGGAACTAAAGTGCTGAAATTAAACTTGTAAAAGAAAAAAAAAGAGCCCCTTTTGATATTTTTTAAATCGATTTATAAATGTTATAATTTTAGAGGGCATGGCAGTCTGGTTTCAAGTGGTTAATGGATTTTAGACAGATGCGTGAGTGGTGGTTAATTAAAAATGATGACAAACATTTTATTAATTTTGTTCATGTCATTAGGTGGAGTTTAAACTTGCCTAAGCCTCTCGAGGACTCGTGTTAAAGTTTTAATATATGCACGCACAAGTGTTTAAAAGCAAAGTTCACAAAGGGGAGGTTATTAATTAAATCAGCTGAAGCAAAAGTGTAAAAAAACATTTTTATTATCTTATAGAATTATCCGAACCTGGGTGTCGAATGCACCAACAAGGCAAACGAAATGTAAAACTTGAGAGTCGTGGGCCTCATGTTGGAATGATCCATTGTGAGTGCGATGTGTTGTGACAGTGTTGTGATTATTTTATGTATCTGCAGACGCAGAGAGCGAGCAGACAATGCAGAGTCAGAAATGGAAATATTGTATTTCATCGGGCGCACAGGAGCTGCAATTTACTTTGATAATGATAATGCTAAGAGACCGAGACAGCAGGGGATATGGAGCACACACAGTTCTATCATTGCTAAGAGTTTTCTAGAAAACTCCCTCTTTGCTTTCTACCTTTAACAGAACCATTTCTCAGTCAACTGGTCTTGTAAAATTTGATTGTGTTTGATGTTTGTGTTAGCTTTTCTCTCTGTGTGTGTCTTGATGGATATTGCAGTCTTCAGTACCAATACTAAGATATCAATGATGATGTTTCTCAGCCTGGATGAGAATTAGCAACTCCAACTCTGAGGCCACGGTTCTGATTGGAAAACGTGGATTTCCTGCTCTGGGTTGGGCAGGAGTTCACAAACCTTGGGTCATATTAACACTGGGAAATGAAGGAGCAGGAAATTGACAAGTAGATCAGTGAAACGTTGGCACTGATACGAATGCTGTATCGATCTCTTGCCTTCAGAGATGAGCCTGTGTCGAATTACTGGTTGATCTTTACCCTCACCTATGGATGTGAGTCAATAATGACTGAGGGATAAGACTCATGTTTGGATGTCTTAAAATCAATGTTTTAGCATCATGAGAAGACAAAAAACAGGATGAATTAGAGGAGAAGCTCAACAATCTGGTAACCAGTTCTCAGGAACATCTGCAAATGTATCTTTACGATGGATTGGGGCCAAGGTGTTTCTGTTTAGTTGGCTTGTGGTTGCTTGGCTGTTGCTAGACAGTTACTAACTGCTTGCTTTGGTATGGTTAGGGGGTTGTTGAGGCTTTTTAGGTCAATCTGTTGTTGCTTTGCAGCTGCTATGGCGGGTGATATTTTGCTTTGCTTGTTTTACAGCATTTACTAGCCGCATTGAGAATGTTCTCATCAACTGGTTGGAAGGTAGCGGTTATTGTGCCATATATGAAAATGCTTTCTGCTGCTCATTTAACATAAATCTGACAAAGCCTAGATGAGTTTAAACAATCAATTGTACTGTTTGAAAGCTACTATAAGTATAATAAACTGTCATCTAGTATTCAGTTCAATCAATAGAGGAAAAAGAGCCATGTTGTAATTAGAAATGTGAAAAAAAGCATCTTAAAGATGTAACTGATCAACCCAAATGTACCCTGTGTAATCAGTTAGCTGCTAAACATATAAATTTAAAAGAATCTTAAAAGTAGCTGCGGACTGTGACAGAACCTCGCATTGCCTCCATTTGGTTGTGCACATGTCACCAGGGTGTAGTGTCCATCACACTACAGTTTGTTTGAGCGAAGTTCATTCACAGCAAAAAAGTGCTCATGATCAAACGTCACACGATTCACAAAAAGGCAATTTATGGCGCAGCTTTGCACCAGCAAAACAACCCCTAAATATTTCATTTATACCATAAACATGATTGTGAGCTTCAGTGGTGAGCGACTGCAGCCCATTTAGGTCACCTTCAGGTTCAAGACTCTAAAGAAGAAAGAAACACTTCAGAGTTTAATGAACCAAACCTGAACATGTTGACCCTGCACCCCCCACCC